TATTCACTATATTTTTTAAAAATTTTGTTATTAATATGTTTGGTATTTTTTACTTAAAAAAACAATGGTAATGGTGAAAATAGTAATATACATGTATGTATTATGTCTTATTAAAGTTAAATTATGTTTTTAAAAAATTTGGCAATTAGAAGTTTGGAAATTTTTCATACTTAAATTATTATCATTCAAAATTAAAGTTTTTAAGTTCAATGTATTTTGAACATTACAGACTATATATAAACATAAAAATTAAAATGATGTACAGAAAATCTTAATATTTATAAAATCCTATAAATAAACATAAAATTCAGTTATCATCTTGTCCTTTGTCAATAGCTCATACATGACAAAGGCCACATCAAAAAGAATTCTCCACACAATTAAATGTATGAGTTATTATTGAATTGATTCAATATGGTTAGAATTCTTTTTATTGTCATGATTCAAGAAGCGGCATCCAATAAGTTTGTGGTTCAAATTTTAGTACTTGCAATCTTTTCCTATCTCAAAAAAAAATATTGGCATATTTCTACTATTTTTATTATTGTATTAGCCAAAATAAAGTGTTGCTCGCTCATAAGATTTGAATTCTGTAACATCCATCAAAATTTTCAAAAAAAAAAAAAAGAAGACATTAGACCAGAAAAGGAAAAGAGACGACAATTGAACATATATGATCTGCATTTTCTTTTTTGCTTCTATTCTTGTCTTTGCAAGATTTTTGGCTTCACTTAAAAGGAAAGAAGAATATATTACAATAAGGATCCAATTGAGGGTAGACTAATATGGAAAGGCAGAGATATTGCATTGGAATGTGATTTGTAAAGCTAGGTGATGATTTTTCAACTTGTGCACTATAACTATAAGCCTTTTCTCTGTCAACCCCATAACCATCCAATTGAACTGTCATGTCTTAAAAATAAAAAATAGTCAATGTTCTGGACAAAAGGATGTTGCTTTTCATTCGACTTTATAGATGATTTGTGATATTTCTATTGGTAGATTTTATCATCAACATTTTCCTTCAATAAGAATTCTCCATTCAAGATTGAGCAGAATATATTCATTCTATGGACAGCTACATGATCTAAAATTAGCTGATAATTAACATTGTCGACTTGGATCACTACTGTTATTCAAAAATTTATAAATACCAAGAATTGTCTTCCCCTTGGTGCATAAAACTGAGAAGGAGAGAGGTCTTACATGAAGAAAAGAGTCATGTTTGGTAGCCAAGGATGACTTGCCTGCATCTTTCCAAGAGGCTCAGATTTTTATGACTATGAACCAGAAACTCTTTTCGGGGTGCCAGGCAGTCACCTTGGCTAATCTAACAGGTTCTTTTCCCTCATGTTAGACTTTTTCTTCTTCGTCAATTATATCTATCTGAATCTGTGCTATAACATAAAAAGGCATATATTTGAGTTTTTGCTCGATGCAGAAAAACAATATATTGGTTTGATTTAGATTGAAATGTCAAGTTTTTGTGTGTCTATGGCTGTATCAAAAAGTTCAGATCATGAGGCCTTTGGCTTTGGATCATAAGAAAGAGCTAGGTAACACAAGAATGATACTAGCTTTACCACTTCGGAATCTGAATTTGGATTTGTTATACTATCCAAACTATTGCGAGGATAGATGCAAATGCTATTAAATATTCATTGATTAGTTTTTTTTTAGGCAAAATTTTCAAATGAATTTTAGTATTTGAAAAGGTTCAAATTTACTATTTAATATAACAGTTGGTCATTGAACAATTTCATACTAGAGAGTAAGACCTTATGGCTAATTCAACCATCTCAGAATCATAACTTAGGTTGGAGGAAGTTGCTTTAAACCGATCAACATTGCCCCTCCATTCGTCCAGAAGCAGAGTGGAGAGACTACTTGGTTAAATTCTGCTCATAAGTATCATGCAGCTAGAACATGAGATGCAATCACGCATAAGCTGGAGAAAGTAGATTGGCCTAAGGTTTTATGGTTTAAGTATCATATCGCGAGGCATGCCATCATTGCTTGGATGGTTATTCTTCAGCTATGTGGAATCCCAAAAGCAGGCTGGAGATTGGTCAAATGATTTCAGATGGGTACGGAAGAGACTCAAGGGGAAGGGAAAAGCATTGGTTGCAGTTGGTATGCTCAAACTGGCTTGGTGTGCCTACCTCCATTTTGTTTGGATGGAGAGAAACACTAGATTTCATAGTAAAAGAGCCGATGCTTCTCCAGTTATTCTTAATCAAGTCAAGCAGCTTGCAGGAGATGATATTAACAAGATGTTCATCAATAACTGGGGATTGGAGGAAGATATGCTGAACTTAAAAAAAATTAGAATTGTTTTTTTATTTGACCTCTCATTCCTCAGAATAAAAATACAGCACTCTATCAACAGTTGGTAAGAATTAGAATTGATCCCAGACCAAATTTATTGACAGATTTGACTGTTTCTTTAAGTAAAAATAATTAGATTGTACACAATAATAATAAAAAAAATTAGGGAAATTGGGGGTCAGATTCTTTAATTCATGTGGTGTTTGATTGAGTTTCATCCAAACTCCAACCAAAGCCTATGTCTTCTTTTTTATCACCCTTTTGGTTCTTTTAAGTACTCTTGTCTTTATGTTGGAAGCTGTCTTTACACTTACTTGACCTAATACTTTTCCGCAAGTTGAACATGATCTGCAGCAAATTTTAAGTAAAAATTTCTTTAAAAAGATGATAGATGTATAAGAATTTATGGAAAGATTACTTACATGAAGCCATGGTCGAGAGCCATCCTGCAAATTTTGAGGCAGTGAGAGCACCAAGCAGAAGCCATGCTGTTAAAATTTTTTGCTTTTAATCTGATCAAATCCAGGAAAATGGAGACCTAGAAAATTTTGTTACAAAATCAGTATAAAGTGTAAAACAGAAGAAAATAAATATACTTTTCTTTTCCTTTTAAACGTTGCAGGTGATTTCCTTGGGAAGCAAGAATTCCAGGGATATTGTTGACCAACGGTTTCTAATAGAGTTGTAAGTATGATGAAAAAGCAGGGTATATATGACTTCTGGCACAAGTTTGATTGTTCATTCCTATATCAAGTTAAGGGTCAAACTTTCATGACAAAGTAATTGACCGGAAATGTGATGGAGATTGAAAGTCAAAGCAAAAATCTTGCATTGAAATTCCATGAATTTGTATAAGGTTCCATGGTAAATAAACCACAATATGAAATTTAAACATATATTTTTTAATTATATCACTTTAGTGAGAAAGTTTAACTAATTTAATCAAATAGCACTTCTTTACTTAACCCAATCCAAACATAGAACTCCTAATCAAATAGCACTTCTTCAAAATTCTTTAAAAAAAAAAAAAAAAAAAAAAAACCCACAACCTTAAAGGATTAAGGAAGAGAGGAAATCTTCTTTAGAAGTTTCAACTATGGCATTTTTTTTTTACAAAAAAGGCCACAACCTTAAAGGATTAAAGATGAAAAATTCAATACTTACCTTGCAGGAATCCACCTCTTAAAAATGTAGATTAACTTTTGGTGTTAAGTCTCATGTTTATGTGACAGAGTTCTTTTATTAAAAAGAAAAATATGGAGAATTGACAAAGGTATTCGTTTATATTCACTATTGACCAAATCAGAACATTGCAAACAGATCATATGTTTGTGGGCAACCTTCCCGACTGTTGAAACCCAGGCTCTGACAGAATATGTAAAAGCTGGGTGGCCTGATTGTAGTGAAAAATTACTCTTGCCATAACCACGTTTTGCCTCTAGGATCCGCCACTTTTCTGAAGAATCCAATTCAACCAGAAGAACCAACAGGACCACTCGTATTTCTGGGAGGAACATTGTCCTTACCATCTACATAAAAGAAAGAGACCTCACCCAGCTAGAAAATAAAAATTTCTAGTCCGTCTTCATACTTGCCTGCTTAACTTAAGAACATCTGCCAACCTCCCTCGATACAAATTCAATGTTTGTTGCATAAAAATAAGATTAGATTTTACAATTCATGTGTAGTATTGTGCCCAATGCAAATAAAACATAAAAATTTTATGTATTAAATTCGTGTTTGACTTACTAAACACAATACATATTTTTTATTTTTAATAAACTTATATATAATTTTTTATTTTTGTTAAAATTTTGTCGTGTTTTCGTAATTTTTTTTTTTATCATTTTCTATCATGCTTAAAATTATCAACTATATAAACAGCCCATCTTCTCAATCGAGATGGAGAGCAACAAAAGAAATTGGGAAAAAAAAAAGGAAAAGAACCAAAGAGCAAAAGAATTAGTCAGATTAAGGGCGTTCTATCTCCTTCTAGAAATAACAAAATTTGTTAGCAAAGCTGTACACAGAACAGCAGAGCCAAGTCTTTCACCTACTTCGAACAGTTAGAGAATGGTTAACACAGCTTAGTAGAGATTTACAATAATAAACTCACAAATCTATAAAATTCGATTCACTCTTACATGGTTGGCAGTGCTTTTGTTTCTGCCTCTGGCTTGGGTCTTTCTCGACGACATCACTTCTTTTTTAATTCCTTTTTATTTCTTTTTGGTGTTGGGGAAATCAACCAATCAGGTATTTTTTGTGGGGCATGGAACACGTACAAAATCGCATCCACGTACAAGACAAAGATCATCAGATCAGGTTCTGTGCCTGACCCTCCTGCCATTTGTATCAAAGTTTTGCTTGTGCCCACACTGTCCGAGATTTTCCGCCACTGCTACAATCCTCCTGGCAGCCTGCAACTGTTTTCATAACTAAAATTACAATTTTGACCAAACTTTTAAGAAGAATTTTTTTTTCACTTGCTAGTGTTAGGGTTTAATAATGAATTGTCATTTTACAAAGCGTTGATAAGTTCTTTAAATTCCACAAACGATTTTAATTTTTTCAAATATATTAATTTTTATTTTTTTAATACATCTTAATGCATATGTGGGACTTAAATTTCCCTCATAATGTATTAAATAATTTTAAAAAAATTTTTGTAGTAATGTTATGAGTATAATTTCGAAACTTGTGATTGTAATAATTTGTCAGTGTGTTAAGATCACTACAAATAATTCATAACTAAGCAAAGCAATCAATTCCTGGTATACATAGTGATAGCTAAATAGATCTTCGCAAAAGACTTGGATTATATCACAACTTTACGTTCCAAAGGATCCATGATCATAATGTTCCAATCCAAAAGCTGAAACCAAACCAATGTTCCTACACGTAAAAATGAAACGCGATGTTGAAGATAAACCCTAAACCGGACTTCCAGCCTTCGGGGAAGCAATGCCACAATTTTTGGCTAAACATTTTCCCCCTTGTACTCATTCACTAGTTCCCATGTAAAAGGAAAAAATAAATAAATAAATAAACCTAGACTTGTGAACGAACTATGCACTGGCTTCACTCTTCTGAAGAAGCCGCAATGGTTTTTCCTTTTCTATCTGATGAGGCTGTGAGACCAATGTCAGTGTTTTCTTCAGTTTTTGGCTTCCGCATCTGCAGGAGTTGCAGCTGATGTTGCAGCACCTATTGAGAAAAAAAAAAAAAAAACACGTTGAAAAACAGTAGTGACAAATTGGAAAAGTATGAGCTGATTTTACATTGTGTTAATGTTAAATGTTATAATCTTTTACCTGAAAAAGTAAATTTCTAGACATAGGAAAGAGACAATCAAACAAATGGAAGCTCTCAATAGTCAATTCTAATGCAATTAGGAGGCTATCCCGAAAACAGTCATGATTGATATTGGAATGTCATGCCATGCTGCATCCACTGCAAGCCATGCACTCCAAATCTCACCTTGATCACACATTTTTATACACACAATTACATAAAGGAAGCAAGAGTAGCACCAGTACAATACATAAATGATACCTCAATCTGCTGCTGAATAATCTTCTTCTGAACTTCCAACTCAGAATCTGGAGTACTCTGATTACCACTTGATCCCTCTCCTGAGTTTCCATTGGCACCAGGTGATTGGAAAGGAAGAAAAACACAATGTGGAAATTGCGGAAAGGACAAGTTTGCATATCCACCAGGAATGGCAAATTGTTGTCCAATGGATGTGCTTTCCCCACTAGATTCCACCTTCATGGTGTCGGCCAATGAACCATAAGCCTTGGGAAGTACAGCATATCTAGGAGACCTGCATATAAAATGCACAACATTGTAACATGTAACTGGGAACACCAGTTCGAATTAGCAAACCAATGCACTTAGAGCCAGATCTGATCATGTAAAAGAACTGGCATCAATAGCACAATTAGAAAGCAGAGCAGATGTGGGCGCAAAGACTTTGAAGGTCTAGAGATGCCTCTAAACCAATGAACCAATTATCAGCTTTTGAAAACTAGCACTCCATTGCAACAAGCTCTGCATGTGTTTAAAGTGCTCCCCTTTGATCAGGAATAGACGTTTCACTTCCCAATATTCATTAAGTATCATATATCTCCTGTAATAGGTCTCAATTTAAATAATTACCTCCTTATATTCATATATATGATTTCATAATTAAGTTTGCCAGAGATAGTGTCGTCACTTCTTAACAATCTCTATATAAGCAAACACACAGACACACAGACACACAAACACACACACAACTTTTGTACAACCCAGAAGCCAAACGAATTGTCTCAATGGCACATTCCTAATACTTTTCTTTGGTGCTCAAAAATTTAAATATGCTCTCTCAAAATGCAATAACTGATAATTAGTCCACTGCAATTGATACATAATAAAAAAATCACATGGGAAAAAGAGGCAAGATTACAAAACCAGCAAAATCAGGAAACTGCAAATTTCATTGACAGACATGCAGCATTACAAGCAAAAAACTACCTACCAAACTAGTGTGTTCGCAGAAGGATAGACGTAGGATTTCTCATATATTGACGCTGCAGCAGCAGCAGCCTGAAGCCTGGCCGGATGCTGGGTCAAATTGTCAGTGGCCATGTCAACACCAGGACCTTGAGTAGATGAACTTGTGCTGGACCCTGTTCCCACTTTAAACAATTAGCCCACATTTTTCAAACAACAAAGTCAGTTTGATTAATTGCAAAATTATAAAATTTAGTAGTGAAGTAATAGCTGCAGAACAAAGTAATACTTAATGTCCACATCCCAAATTCTTTGCAACCCAAATCAGCTTACCAGTTTCCATGTGGTATAAATAAGTCTATATGCCATAAAATAACTGGTATTTGGAACAGGTTATCCCCCAAAATTTGGGACCAAAACATGGAAAACATCTTCAAGATGGGTTGGGAAGGAAAAGCCTTCAAGTAAGGCACCACACTAAGGTGCATGCCTTAAAGCATGGATAACAACTGTGGACATTTGCATTTCCACACCTTATTTCAGGAGGCACATGCCTTACCAAGCTTACAAGCAGTTCAACAAAGCATAAATAGATAGCAACTAAAAAGACAAAGAACTGAATTTTGAGCTAATAATGGATGGAAAATTTTAAAGGCCCCAAAATTTGCTTTACCCGATACCTAGGAAAAAGTAACAAAGTTTGAAAAAGTTAGGCAATCTATTCATGATATGGATATTTATTCATGCATGATCCATATCATCTCAAAACCAAATAGCAGAACTAACAGTTGGCATACATCAATTTAAATTTATCAAGAAAATCGAAATGCTCAAAGAAAAGAGTTGATCTTGTTACAGATGATGTTACAATGAGGTTACCTTGTTCATGAGCATCTGACCGATGTCCATGTTGCCCTCCAGATGAACTTGTTTCATTTTCAGATGGTACAACCAGTGCCCTGCACGTAGGGCAGGTATGCTGTCTCTCCAGCCATGACCGAAGGCAGTGCACGTGAAAAAGATGCCCACAAATTAACTTCTTTGCTGTGGTCATCTCTTCACGGCATATAATACAGGTTGCATCACTTCTGTTCATCCAACCAGTAAGCAGTTAAAAATCAAGAATAAAAAATCACAATGCAATTGAAAGATTCTTATAAAAGCACAAAATTGAGTTTATAAACAAATACTGTTTGACTCACGCAGTGAGCTCTTCAGGGGTTGCATCTGGGAATCTATCATTCATATTTGAAGTGATCTTCCTATAACGCATGTAATCAGCAACACGAATTTTGAAATTCCTAAAGGTCTCATAAAGTTCCCGTATTAAGTGCAGAGGTATACCATAATTCCTGCAGAAACAAATTAAACATTAACAACCATGCCTTGAATTAATCCATAAGAATATATATATATATATATATATATATATATATATATTAAGAGATCTGAGACTTTGGTGAAGAAAAAAATATCCTTTTTTTTATCACACTTATCATTCTATATCCACTCTTTAATTATAAGTTATCCTTTATAGACCTTGCAGCGCTCAACCAAGCCTTCCATTAAAAAGTTGGCAGCTGGGCAGACATCTCAAAACCTGCAGATGAGTCTTAGTTTTCATGACAACCACATTGGGCTCTTTTTAGGATTAGAAACTGATTTCTGTGAACAGAAGAAATTTTGGTACTACCCCATTCATATATCAGCAAATTCATGAAAAACTGGAGTATTTATGCCAATTGACAACTACCCATTTGCTACCATTCTACTTGACAATTACATTTTCATGTCTAAAGGATATAAAACAGTTTGCAAAGCAGCTATAAAACTTGGCTGTCCTCTCTAGATATGTAACAAAACAAGTCTCAATGTTGAATGTCTCATCTACAGCAATTCTGATTAAAAAACCATGTAGCATCTAATGATATGGACATAAGATTGCCCTTTTTCCCCATCCAACATGTGCAAGTTTAGAACCCAGTAAATACAATCTCAAAAAATGTAATTTGCTACCAGGATTTGAGCTTACGCCGATGTCCAATCAGCCCAATGCATCTCTATATGTTAGAGAACACCACATGCCTTATGCCACCCTTAAACTTTAACACCTAATTATAAGATATCAAATAACTGAAGGGGATCTAAAGACTAAAGCATGGTAAAAACTCCTAAAAGAAAGTATAGCATTCTATCTAACAAGTAAAAAATTGACTTGAAAATTTTAGAACACTGCTTATAAAATTGCACTAACATGCATTAAGTCTTCAGTTCATGTAAGCCAAAAAGTTTTTGAGAACCTCATGCATTAGAACATTATTCAACAGCCAAAAATTATTTATGCACATGAATAATATAAACACATATGTGATCCTACAGAAACCAAAAAGAATAGTTTACTTACATGAAAATCACAAGAAAGAAGCATAAATACAGAGACAAGTGAAGCAAGTCCCGGATGAGCTCCAAGTAGAAGGTATAGACAGCCTTTTTTTCCCATTGTCCTTCCATAAGCATGTCACTCACATAGAAAACATATTTTACAAAAGTTGCCACTGTTGTCGTCACCAGTATCATGTACCTTGAACCCAAAAAAAGTCAATATTAGTCCAAGTAAAAACAGATAAACTACAAAATATATATCTACACCACTCCCTAGTCCATCCTAAAACATAGTTCAGTAACTTTGCAAACTCACAAGTAGCAATTAATACATGTTTGAATGCAGACAATGAACAATGATACATGCGAAAAATGAAGATACACACATATAACTTCGAAAGAAACAAGGGAGAGGAATCAAAACTAGTCATATTATGTAAATTGCCATAACACAAAGAATATTTGGATTTTATACAAGCATTTTTCTTCCAGGAACCTGACTATTTTATTGGTTGGGACTTTTGTAATGACAACTTCATTTATCATTTAATTCCCAACATAAATGACACATTTAAAGAGTTTCTTTCTTATTTCTTTATAGCCTAGCAGTCCTTCACAACATACATAATTTTGCAATCCTTATTAATCATGCTCATAAATCAAAGATTCCAATGCATATTTATCACGACCTTAGTAAAATCACAAAAGAAAAACTATGACTTCAAGCACAATGCTCATCCCTGCAAATCAATTTTATTAAATCTAAAATACTAATGACAATTGAAATACAAAGTGGTTTGGAATGATGGCCCATAAAGCATGACAAGCAGAAATATGTTAAGAAAATTTTCTACTAATAATTGCAAAAAGAAGAAAAGGTGCTAAGTTAAAAACTTACTCAAATGAAAAGAAGAGGGAAACTGAAGCTTGTCGTGTTTGGATAAGAAACTTGATAGAACTGTACAAAAACAGACAATCTAGAAGAAGAAGGAAACCCAGGAAAGAAACTATCCTAATGTGAGACAACATAGGAACAGAAGGGGTTGTCTCAATGTACTCAACTCTCTTCTGTGCCATCCAATGCAAAGCCTTGATTAACAACAAACCTGTAACCATTGCAAGAAATATAACAGAGAAGTCTTGTCGAAAAATAGTAATTGCAAAGAGGATCTCCATGATCTCTCTCCAAGACTGCTCATTCAACCGCTCAACCTCAGCTTCACGAAGAGACCCAAGGAATACCCTTTTGGTTAATTGCCATAAGATACACATAAAGACAAGGCCCATGTTGAGAAGCAGCACCAAGCTGATCTTAGAGGTTGATAAATAAACCATAGCAGGATAAAACTGGCCTCTACTGTTGAACGCATGATAAATAACTGCTAGCGTCGCGGCTAAACTGAGACCAGCATAGGTTTGCAGCCTCATCATTTTCCTCTACCTGATTACCACACCACAATATTCAACAGAGGAAAATCAAAATCTAGAATTAACTTAAAAGACTACGTCCTCCTAATCAATTAACCTTACTCTTTTAAAGCATTTAATTCGTCATGAAACAATAATATAAGCACTGAGATCAAGTGAAACTATAAAAAGAGGTAAATTTTTCATAAAATTTCTATCTTCTCTATCCAAAACAATGGAACCTTACTAATTCAAACATGGTATCATAATAAAAAAAATAATCCCTATTTCGAACAAAAGAAAATTTCAATTTTTTCCTTGAAATTCTTTTCACCCGCAACCAAACAATCGAATCCAGGAACTTCCAAAACCAAAAATTTCTATCAAATAGGGTGGAAAAGAAAAGGACAAAAAAAAGAAGAGATCAGTACTGACCTGAGAGAAACGTCGGTGAGGTTTTCGAGAGAAAAAGGAACCGCCAATGAGAGAATGAGAGAGTCCTTTGTCTCCTCCGGTCTGAGAGAGCTTAACAATAAATTAACAAATTTATAAGAGCTTCATTAATATGGTGGGCTATTTATTTAATTTAGGAATTTTTTTGTTTTAAATTTAGGAAAATTTACCTATTTATCCTATGCGTTTTGCAATTGCGGTCATCGTTACCAATCAATATAATCCACGTGTACCGTGGCTTTATTGAAACAAAATTTTCGTTGAAGATTTTGATTGAGCGTTTGCTTGCATTGATGGTTAGATTCTTTTTTTTTTTTTTTTGGTTGGATTCGGTTAGGTGATATTAAAAAATAGTGACATGATGAAATAATTATCGTAACAATAACATTGAACGCTGTGTTGGTGGAACTAAAATTAATAACTATTCTAATGCAATTTCAATAATCGATTGTTATAATTAAATTTTTTATTTTTAATATAACAAATTTTTTCTCGAAAGAAAGGTGGATTAATTAGTAATTTAATGTTTAATAATATATTTTTTGGTTTATTAATTTCATTCTACCAATAGGAGAATTTATGAAAATAAAAAAAATTTTGCCAATTATTAATTATTTATTTATTTATTTTAGGATCAAATTTTCCTATCAGGAGTGCAAGAAAGAAAAAAAAAATTTGTAAAAACAATCATTGCTGCCTCGCTCGGCGTCACCGGTCAGTCCCTTTTTCTTTTTTCATCTCCACAACTGGCAGCGACACCGTTTCTTCTCTCTTTTATCGTTCTCACCATTTTCCATTTGTTCTTTCCTTACCGTCTTTCAGCCAACACCTTGCTCTCTACCTCTACACTGCAGCAACTCCTCTTATTTTGATCTTTCCCCATTTCCTTTCCTTTTCATTTCTCGTCCGCTCTTATCTTGTTCTTGCCCTATATTTCCCTCCCAGCAAACCCACACCTTTTGGTCAAATTTCAACCTTTTCTTCTTTTGTTTTCAATTATTAAGTTAATTTTGAATGACCCAGATTTTATTACTTCAATATTTCTCTCTAGAAATATCCGTTTAATCTTTTGACGTGAATTTTCAATTGATGGCTTATTGAGCTTTAGAGTGCGGATTTAAGGTATATCTTGGAATTCTTGAGTGAATCTGTTGAGGCCAGTGAAGATTATGTTAATGTTGCTTATTATATTCTACTCATATTGCCTTTTTTTTCTCTTGGTTTAAATTGATTAGATCTTGTATGAATTCTGGATTGATTGTGAAAATGTGTCTTGGGCTGAATATTGTTTTTGTTCAAGAAATATGGAATTTTCGATAAGGTTAGGGCAGATTGAGTCTTATAAATGGTCTATGTTGTGAGATTGTTAATGCTTGCATGTTAGAAATTGAACAATTAAGTGGTCTTACTTGAAAATTGATGTGGGATTTTAATGACTTTGAACCTTTTATATCAATCAACTTTCTTTATTATTGCAGTTTCTTTATATCATCATTCTATGATTTCTTTAATGTCACAGGATCTTAGCTTGACGTCAATTGGGTTAATGAGAAGAAAATGATGTCTGAAGATGCTGGACAGATGTTGATCGTTTATGATGATCCTTCAGATCAACGATCCTTGTCTTTAGGTGAAACCAGTAGTACAGAGGATTCACCTGATGAAACCCGGCTTTCTCTAGAAACCATTAATGATGCCATTCCATATATTGGGCAACGATTTGCTACTCATGATGCGGCTTATGAATTTTATAGTGAATTTGCAAGGCAATGTGGCTTTTCCATCCGTCGTCATCGCACAGAAGGAAAGGATGGGGTTGGAAAAGGACTTACAAGACGTTACTTTGTCTGTCACCGTGCTGGCAATACACCTGTCAAAACCTCAAATAACGGTAAACCACAAAGAAACAGAAAATCATCCCGATGCGGATGTCAAGCATACTTGCGGATAAGCAAAGTAACAGACTTAGGAGCAGCAGAATGGCGTGTCACGGGTTTTGTGGACCACCATAATCATGAACTTTTAGAACCGAATCAAGTTCGTTTCCTTCCTGCATACCGAACCATATCAGATGCAGATAAGAACCGGATCCTTATGTTTGCCAAAACAGGAATCTCAGTGCAGCAAATGATGAGGCTGATGGAACTTGAGAAGTGTGTGGAGCCAGGATATCTACCGTTTACTGAGAAGGATGTGAGAAATTTACTTCAATCATTCAGGAAATTAGATCAAGAAGATGAAAGCATAGATTTATTAAGAATGTGTAGAAACATTAAGGAGAAGGACCCCAACTTCAAATTTGAGTATACACTTGATTCACACAATAGGTTAGAGAACATTGCCTGGTCATATGCATCATCAGTCCAGTCATATGATATATTTGGTGATGCTGTGGTGTTTGACACGACTCATCGTTTGACTGCACTTGACATGCCACTGGGGATATGGGTTGGAATGAATAATTATGGCATGCCTTGCTTTTTTGGCTGTGTGCTTTTACAAGAAGAAAATTCAAGGTCATTGTCATGGGCTTTAAAGGTAATAGAATATAACATAGCTTTTTCTCAGTCTATCATATTGTATTGCTTATGGTTGCCAGTTTTACTTGGATCTGCCAATTTGTGTCCTTTGCTTTTGTGACATTGCCAAAAGCAAAGGCAGAAAGAAAGGAGGGAGGTAGGGAAATATTAATTCGTGCAATTGAGTGATTCAGTATATGGGATAGAGAGCTGGTAGGTTTAGTGAATGTGATAGATACACAAGATGATTTTTTCAATCATCTTTGTAATTATATACAGTTCTTCTGTTGGGAGTGTCAATAGTATCTATAATATCATTGGTTTGCTGAGTTCATATGCTTTATGACGCAACTGTGATTTTGGAATACTATGCCAATTTGAGCATGAACCTGCCTGATTTGTACATGGTCAATTTCTATCAAATCAGGATGGGATGCAGGAACTTTGTGCAGGGAAAAAAGGAGGATGGGATGTATGAACATAATTTTTAATAAAAAATGTCTCTTATACAGAAGATAATTGGCGGATTTTTTGAATATTATACTTTATCTTTCTTTTTATGTTCTTGGTGGCTCTTGAATTTACTACCGTTCTTTTTCTTTTGGTTTTTATTTTACTTCTTCTTTATGGCGTAACTTTTGGGAGGCTTGCTAAATCAGTGTCCTTTTTTTCTCATATTTGAAAGGCATTGTTAGGGTTCATGAATGGAAAAGCACCGCAGACAATATTAACTGACCAAAGTATGTGTCTCAAAGAAGCCATAGCCATTGAAATCCCTACGACTAAACATGCACTCTGCATATGGATGATTGTGGCAAAATTTCCATCCTGGTTTAATGCTGTTTTGGGGGAACGTTACAACGAGTGGAAGGCTGAGTTTTATCGACTCTACAATTTAGAGTCAATTGAGGATTTTGAATTGGGCTGGAGGGACATGGTCAACTCTTTTGGGCTACACACAAACAGGCATATTGCCAACCTGTTTGCATTACGCACAATGTGGGCTTTGCCGTACTTGAGAAACCATTTCTTTGCAGGAATGACCACAAGTGGCCACTCAAAGGCAATTAATGCTTTCATTCAAAGGTTTTTAAGTGCACAGACTCGGCTTGCACACTTTGTGGAACAAGTATACTCTCTCTTTCTATACTTTACTTCAAATCCAATTGTGTGAGTGTTTTGTTGAATATCTTGACTAATGATTCCCAAAGCAAGTGCATCTAGACTTTTTCTTTTAGTTTATCCACGTTGAAGACATAGGAAATAAATTGATTGTTTGAGGATATCAGAATATGAAGATTCTATAGTAGTAAATACTTAATTTAGGCTAGCACAAATGATTAAGTTGTCAAATTGCTAGGCATTGCCTCTTTCATCAAAGGTTGGAAGTTGGAGGTTTTTAAGGCTCATCCACTGCATATCTTGAATCTGAGGATTCACATACACTGACTTGTAAAACTGTTTCTCTTTCAAACATGGACAATGATAGCCATTCAACTTAATTCAAATTGTCTGTATTATCACATGAAACTGGCTTTTACTCCATGTTAGGTCTAGCCAGTTTCAAAACAATAAAATGGTAGTAGAGAATTCTTCAAGATGTGTAGAAAAACAATGGACTTTATAAGAAAACTTTTTGGGAGTTAAACCTGACTTATACTTTCTTTACTGTTAGAGCTTATCTACATGATTAAACATTATTAATTCTATATTAAGATATGCAGACCCTAGATTAGATTATGGGGTTTAATCAACTCACCTTACATCTGAACTTATGCCTGATTCACCAGTTGGGATTTAGATTTTTTTGTACCCATGTTGCAATCTCATAGAAATGTTAAGTTTGGAAGGCAACTTCCGCCATTAAAGTACAAATCTGAACCTTGTCCTGCCCAACTAAATTTCATTATCTTATCATCTCCACATCACCATCATCATGATGTGGTTGGATTTTGCTTGGATTTTGGCTTCTATTCAAAATCTGTATTTATCTTGACATGTATTTCCCTTTTCTTGATTGTTGTACTTGCTTTTGCTTGTAATGCATCAAAAATGTGGTTGTAGTTTGTAGTGGTGATTTGGCAATTCTTCATGCTTTATGTTATCAGCTGTTGTGTAGCATGATTTTTCTTCCCCTGTTGATTTAACTTTATCAATCAGGTTGCTGCTGCTGTGGATTTTAAAGATCAAGCAGCTGAACAACAGACAATGCAGCAGAATCTTCAAAACATTTGCCTAAAAACAGGAGCGCCTATGGAATCTCATGCTGCCTCTATCCTCACTCCTTTTGCCTTCTCTAAGCTTCAAGAACAACTAGTTTTAGCTGAACACTATGCATCATTTCAGATGGATGATGGCTTTCTTGTAAGACATCATACAAAACTCGAGGGAGGCCGGAAAGTATATTGGGTTCCTCGAGAGGGTATTATAAGTTGCAGCTGCCATCAGTTTGAGTTCTCTGGAATACTTTGTCGCCATGCCCTTCGAGTTCTCTCAACAGGAAATTGCTTTCAGATCCCAGACAGATATCTTCCTCTTCGCTGGAGAAGGATCAGCACATCACCTGCAAAGCTTCTGCATAGTTCTTCAAGTGATCATAGGGAGAGGATTCAGTTGTTGCAGAACATGGTATCAACCCTTGTAGCAGAATCTGCCAAGTCAAGGGAAAGGTTGGATGTTGCTACCGAGCAAGTCTCCATTCTTTTATCTCGCATAAGAGAGCAGCCAGTTGCATCGCAAGGTGTGCGAGATATTTCACCTATTCATAGGAATCTTTGAAAACTATAACTTGAACAACTAGAGCAGAAAGCAACATGAGAAATTTGATAAGAAATCACGTTGAGGTTAGAAATGCAAGAGTTGATGAAGGGTTTGGCCTTTGCATACTAAATTTTGTAGTTCTGTTACATGCAATCAAAATAAACAAGTTGCATGTTCTAGGCATTATTTTGCCAATTCCTAGGGGATGTTCTCGATGGTTTTTACGTGTACAATATATACGTAGGAAGTAGCCTATCTTGTATGATATTCATGTGTTTTTTCTGCAGAAAAAAAAAATGAAACCCCATTTTGCTTTTGCCTAATAGCATATGATGGAAACGTTCTAAAAGAGCTTTCTTCTTTCATTTCTAGAGCAATTGACTAGTTAGGGGTATATCATTGATTCATAGTTGAGATTTAGAACTTTCTTTTCCATGCATGTGAATGAGGAATACAGAGGGAGATTCCAACTTTTAAGCCTGGTAAAAAGGAATCAATTACTGTATGTACGTAAGGTCAAATATATATATATATATATATATATATATAAATACGGTATTTTTAGGCAAAGTTTGAATTTTTTTTACTGACTCATTTGTTTTGAATTTCTTCTTTCAGTTTTAGTGGTTGATTTCATACCATTTTACAATTTAATGCTGCAATTATTCTGGTGCTTATTGTCTACTTTTAAGGCTGAAAGTCTAAAAAATAAAAAAATAATATATATATATATACTAGTTTTTTTAACGCGCTGTGTACATAATTATTAACTAAATTATAATTTTAATATAATAAAATAATTTTAATATTTTTATAATAATAAAATTGAAATAACTATCATCATATTAAATTAAATTGAAAATATAAATTTAAGTTTGAAAAAATAAATATAACAAAAATTTTAAATTAAAATTTCAATAAAAAATAAATATTTAACCTTTATCTATTTTGATTTTTTTTAGAAGTTTTATTTTAAGTCTTTTGATTTTAGGTTATCATCTTCATCCATTTTATATATATTTTTAAATTTTTTCAGATAATTATATTTTATCACAATCAAATCGAATTTCATACTTCCTTTTATTCTTTATTTTATATTTTTTCTTGAGTTTTTTCTTTTAACTTTTTTGGTAGCAGATTTTTATTTTTAATTTTATAAATTTTTTAGACAATTATCGTTGAACTTATTTAAACTCTTGCTTTTTATATATTTTTTATTGAAAATTTAAATTTTTTATTTTGATTTGAAATCATATTGTTAATAAGTTTTTGTTGCTTGAAATAAAGTAAATATTTAGTGTTTTCTTTTTCATGATAAGTTACTTCTATTTTTATATGTACTTTTTAATGTCATATAAATCATTTTGTAGTTTAATTTTATAGCAAAAAAATACATATTTACATGAATTTTACTAATTAATAATATTAATTTATAAATATATTCTAAAAAAAGAGATTTGAAGCAATCAAGAATTATTAATATCTTGATGTAATCATCAATAATGTTTATTTATGTATTTACAATGAATATTGACTAAAATTACTTTTAATATCAAATATTAATTTCTTAAAAAGCTACTAAATATACATAACTTATTAAAATATTTTATAATAAGAGTTTAAATAATGTAATTTACTCAAAGGTATATCTTATCATAATCAAATAGTATTTTTATATTGTTCTTTAAATATTGAAATACTTTTCTCAATTAACTTTAGTTCAATATTGTTATTATTTGTTAAATAATGAAATATAAGAATTTTAAAATTAATAAGATATGAACTATTTTAGATAAATATCAAAAGATGTTATTATATTTTGACGGTAAACTATGTTTTAAATCTTAAACTTTAAAATTGATAATTAATATATTTTTAATATTTGAACTCTTTTTTAATTAAAATTGAGTAATTTCTTTATTCGACGAATACTTAATTATATATCTAGTATAAGTCATACAAAAAATTCATCATTTAACAGATATTGTTATAAAATTATAATTTATAGAATCCATACTATTATTAGTATTATTAAATCATATATTTTAATTTAAAATATTATGTACTTGAAACAATAACTTACAGATAATTTTTTTATGGTGTTTTTTAATAAGTTTAGACTCATTTTTTCTTTCTTTTATTTTAAAAATATCTTTAAAGATAATAATTTTTTGTATAATTGCTATCAATATTGTAAAGGATACCACATAACACAACAATTTATTTTTAGTAAAGATATAGCATTAATCTAGTTATTATTAATTTGTTATCAAGTAGACAATCAATGACATATAAATTTAGATAAAGTCATTCAAAATTTTCACTTCAAAATTTGATTTTTTTCAATAAAATTATGTTGTTATAGTAATTGGTACATGAATATTGTTTTAATAATTTATATGTGTACAATAATCACAAATATTTGTAATTCAATATCTTAATATTAAATAGCAATAAATATAATTTTTTTAAATGAATCAAATATGTTAGACATATTAAAAAAATATTGCTCCATATTAATATTCAACCAAAACATAAAAAAACAAAAAAAAAATTTTACTAAGTTAGCAATGATTTACTATTATATATTATCAATGATTTACTACTACGTTATATCACTAATTTACTATTAAAATATGAATAATCTATTATTAAGTTATCCATACTTTACTATTAAGCTAAAATTAATTTATTATAAATTATCATTAATTTAATGTTATTACTAATTTACAATTAAATTATAACTTATTTATCATTAAGTTATTAATAAATTAAGACTAAGTTAACACTGATTATTATTATAAGTAATTTATTAATAAGTTTTGACTTTACTCTTGCTAGTAACCAAAGTTTAATCATTAAAAACTTCAAGTATAAAAAAACTTATCATTGATTGAAAATTAAGTTATCATTGATTTATTACTATGTTATTAGTGATTTGTTATTAAATTATCAATGATTTACTATTAAGTTATGAATGATTTACTACTAAATTATTGATAATTTATTATAAAGTTATAACTAATTTTCTATGAAGTTATTAATGATTTACTATAAAATTATTAATGATTAACTAATTTACTACTAAATTATCATATACAATAAAATTATAAGTGATTTATTAGTATATTATTAGTGATTTACTACTAAATTCAATGATTTTTTACTATTTTATTATTCATTTACTAATTACCATTTATCTATTAATAACTTGTTAATAATTAGCTATTAAGTTATCAATTATTTACTATTAAGTTATCAACTGAATTACAACTAAGTTATTTATGATTTATTATTAATTTATCAATAAATTACCATATATGAGATAATTTTCTTTTTATATAATAACATCATTGTTTCATTCAAACTTATAATTTTTTTACTAAATTTTTTTAATGAATAAGTTCATAGTAGATTCATTCTAGCTCCTAATGATAAAAGTTCAAGCTTTGCTCTTTTTAGTAACCAAAGTTCAATCACTGGTAACTTTAAGTATAATAAAATGTTATCACTAATTAACAAATAAGTTATCAATTACATATTATTATCCTATCATTTATTTACTACTAAATTATCATCAATTTATCACTAAGTTATAGATGATTTACTACTGAATTATTGATAATTTACTATTAAGTTATAGATAATATATTATAAAGTTATTATTAATTTACTATGAAATTATTGATAATTTACTATGAAATTTTTAATAATTAATTAATTTACAACTAAATTATCATTATATTATAATTAAATCATCACTGATTTATAACTAAGTTATCAATGATTTATTATGACGTTAGTAGTGATTTATTACTAAATTATCAATAATTTACTATTAAATTATCAATGATTTACTATATAACGTTATGCATTTACTACTATATTATCATTGGTTTACTATTGAGTTTTAGTGATTAACTACTAAATTATCATTTATTTATTGCTAAGTTATTTATGATTTATTGCTAAATTTAATTAACCATGGTAATCATTAAACATATAAATGTATATTTATCATAAAAATAAAAAAAATCAAACATACAAGCTTATTATAATACGTGTATTACTCTTTTTGAATAATTTTTTGATAATTTAATATATAATTTTGTATGAACTTTAAGGACTCATAATATGTACCATTAAAGAAAATAAAGAGTAAATTAGATTGTATCTTGAAAATGAAAAATTATATGCTTTACTTAAGATAAAGTTAAATGTTTTTGGGGCATGCACATTATGATCTAATAATTTAGACTAAAATAATTAGTAATTAAGAAACAGGAAAAAGATTTTGTCTATGTTTTATTCAATATCATGGGCTCATAGTATGCCACTGCCTATAGAATGAGAATGTGTTTTATATAAATTTGATTTAAATTATTATTTATGAAATTTAACAAAAAAAAAAATCTAAAAATAAAGATGTGAATAAATTTGAGTTAATTTTGAACAACGGATCCACCATATCTCACAAATAAAATTTTAATGTAGTTTAATTTAATATAAATTTTATTTGTAAATTTTTAATTGATTTAAATTTAAATAACTAACGAATAAAAAGTTATATATTTAATGACAAATAATTTTATTAAATAAATAAAAAATGCTTGAAATTGAAATATAAATTTGTTATTTTTTAAAATTTATAAAGGTATTTATGTTATTCATTTCTAACACTTTTAGATTTAAATTTAAATAACTAACCAATGAGAGCTATATATTTAATGACAAGTAATCTTTATTAAATAAATAAAAATATTATAAATTTAAAGATAAATTTGTTATTTCTTAAAATTCATAAAAATATTTATGTCATTCACTTTTAATATTTTTAAAATTCAAACTTTTAGAATATATATATATATATATATATATATATATATATATATATATATTCAAGTTTTTCGAGTGTACTCACCAAAGCATACCATGATTTTTGTGAGAATTGGTGATATACGGTGCTTTCATCGAGTCAGCTTATCCCGATTGCATATCCATGTTTGAATTTTTTGTTTGTAAATGTGACTAAGAGGGTCTATATTTATGTCCCTGGTTTGTTCTTTTCTGTCAGAACTAATGTGTAGGAATCTTCCACACCATATTTATTTTTTTAAAGAATTTTATCACTTTATTTAAATAAATTCATATATTTTTATTGTATTTAAATAAACTCTTATTTTTGGATTTGTATTCTCATATATCTTTATTTCAAACAAAAGATTTATTTATGTTAAAATTTATTTCGGTATAAATTAAAAAAAATGTTTATTTAGGTACAAATTAAAATTTAAAAATTTATTTGAATGCAAAATAAAAATGAAAGGTATATTTGAGTGTAATAAAAATATAAATTTATTTAAATAAAATGATAAAGCTTAAGAATTTTTTTTTATTGTTTTAGACTTCTTCAATCTATTAAGTCGTCAACCGATCCTTGATGAATCTCAATTAACTTGAGAGAAAACAGAGTGTTGAGTACGAGAGTAGCAAAGTTTCATCACCATTATGATCTAGGTTTCAAAGCTTTAACATCATACGGTATGAAGCTTGGTTTTCCTGTTTATAATGAAGCCTTTTCATGCTATGTTACGGCTGTTTAAAAGCGTGATTACCTATGCTTTGCATTTTAATTTGAAGTTGGTTTACGCGCAAAGCAAAGAACCATAATTGCTTTACGTGTTTGAACTTCAAATTCTGCATCATGCGGACTTTTGTTGGAACTTTGCTGGCATCTTGTATATTTAATCATTTAAAAAATGGCAGCATCACGCCATACACTTTTGATTGAAAGAGTTCTACCAATTCCAACAATTTTTCTTTTTGATTTGAAAATAGTTTGAATTGGAGCCTTTCGATTTCTATATCGAAAATAGACTTCCGAAGTTGTTCCAACTTATTGATTTCCATTAACTAACCTTAGATTCTTGGCCCTGAAAAGTGGATGCTTTTCGAGCTCCATCCGGAATCAAACCTGAAAATCCAAAAACTGAACCAAGCCCCAAGTCCAATTTGCTTCAGTTCAAAATTTTTTCAGATTCAATATTGGAAACCCATTATTTCAAATTGAATTGCAATGAGCAATAATGGTATGATGAACAATGTACAATTGAAAATCCTTGGTCTAAAATGAAATCTAAATTGGCAACTGAAACTAAAATCTGACTCAAATTGACATGCAATATTTTGCACAACTCAATCATTTTGTAAATTGCTCTCCCTTCATTATGTTAAAATTGAATATTTGTGTTCAAAAATTAAATTTCTAATTAATCCCGGAATTTCATCATAAAATATACTTCCCTAAAGCTGAATTCAGTAATTTACCGAACGTAGGATGCAAGGGAATACAATTTGAACCTGAAATTGTGTTCTTGCACTATAATCTGGAAAACCTCTCATCAATTTCATTATCTTGAATTCAGTCAAACATATTGGGAAGGGGTCTCACAGCCATAAATGCATCCACCATCTGGGAGAAGAAGAGTTCACTATCAGTTCTTGATCTTGATGATTGAATTACTTGGGATTAGAAGATCCATATATCAAGGGAGTAATCCTTACTGAGCAATGCAAGAATCTTACCTCATCAGTTACTGCTGCTCGAGCCCTGCGGTGTCTTTCTACTAGTTCAGTTAAAACTTCAATAAGTCGCTTTTTCACCTCACCTGTAAGCATGCGTCCCGCACCATACTCCTAGTAGATGATGAACAAGTATTTATTTATTTTTTCACAAAAATTTAAAACATGCAATATTAATGCATTAAAAGCAGCAAAGATGAGGACAAAATTGGATTATAGGGGTTGAATGCAACGCAAAAGAAAAAAAGAAGCAAAAAAGGAAGAAACTGGCAGTTCAAGCAATGATCAGACAAAACCATAAAGTACAACAGCAGAAAACTAGATGAAACCACTGAAGGCAGCAAGCTTACCTTCTTTATGTGCTCAAGTTCAGCATCGTCCTCAAGGAAAAAGTTGAGATATTTGATTGGTATATCTACCTGAAACCCAACCAAAAAAAAAAAACATTTTACCATTCAGTATTTCAGTTACACCATAGCTACAAAATAAAGAAGAAAGCAAAAATCAAAAGAAGGATACTAAAATGGTAAATCTTATGCAAAGCTAAATCCAAAATGTGTGCCTGAGTAGATGCATCACATGCACACAGACAAACAATAAGTCCACTAATCCTGGCTCCAAAAGAAAGAAGGAAACCAGAATATCAACAGCTTCTGCAAAACTAAACAAGGACCTATATGTTTGTTTGCATGTATGTGCATTTGCTTCTCTATGTGTGAGTGTCTGCATTCTGTGCAGCTAATGAGGAAATCAAATCACCATCCCTTAGTGGTAATAACATTAAAAAGGAAACTTCATGTGATACTTAAAAGCTAAGCACAAACTGGAAAGGAAAATTCATCTGATATGTTAGAAAGACAAAGGAACTACCAATTTAATACCTCAAGATTTGCTCCATATTGCCTGTGTTTTTCTATGGATTCTTGACCGCCTGTGAATGCATGTTTGTTTACCTAAAGATAAAATGCAAATTACAGTCTGTAGAGAGATAAATAAGAGCAAGTAATTAAACAGTAATCTAATTGATATCTCTCTTTGCTATAAGCTATCCTCATAATGATCCTCTAGTCACAAAATACATGTAACATGTACAACACCACATGGCTATCACTTATCAGACGGGGCAAAGACCTTATGCCCCTTAAAATTGCTAGAAAATGAATCAAGAAAAAGGAAATTGATACGAGTAAAGAAAATAGAGTGCAGAATTTGCAATACAGCAGCAATAATAAAGCAAGAACAGGTACAGGAAATCTAACGGATTTATAGATGTTGGTAATATGCCCTAAGACCAATCGGATTGGTTACAGAATACATGTCGTATTATGCATTTATATTATTATCATTGTATACACATAATTAATATTACTTACTTCTTATAGATAAAGTCCTTAGAATAAATATACTTTGCAAGGGAAATACAATGAGATTGTAATTATGAGATCGCATTAAAGCATTATTCCTAAATTATTCCTAGTCAATGCTTTGTCAAGAAAGAACATTAATAAAAGCTATTGAGACCAACACATGGTATACTCTTACTTATGAAGCAAGCAATCGATCTCACAAGTTGAAGTTTGAATAAACTTGAGCTAACATATGGGTGTCTGTTGCAAAAACAAATTCATTGAACATGACCTGAGACAAGAATACTATATGGTATTTCACGTAGTGTCTATAACAACAGTCTCATGTGATGGTTAAAGTCTATAGCCACATTCTCATGTGATGGTTGTATAAGTGATCTTTTGACTTGAGAATACTTATGATCTTATATGATAAGTGTTATACTTTGACTATACTTTATTTATAGTTCTAACCAAGAATGCTCTAGTCAAGTGTAGTTGGGTATAACATGAGGCATATGAAGATGCAAGAAATAATCAAGATAGGATTCATCACCCTGTGTGACCAAAAGAGTATCTCAATTAGTCTTGATTGAATTAACTTAAGAAATTTTTAGCCAAAGTGAAATAAGAGTTTAGAATTATTCTAAAGCTTATTTGCAAGTTAATGTCAATGACAAGACTTAATATGATTGAACAAAAAATTTGAGTAGACACTAAACCATACTTGATGTTCAAGCTGATATCCTTAGTGATGAAAGGATATTAATTATACATCAAGACCATATATGAATAGGTTGTCAAGCCATATTGACTTTCTTTAGTAATTGGAGGTCATGACAATGTAGCTAGCATTGATCATAATTCATAAACATTAGATTGGCTAATTATATAATTGATGATGAAGTCAAAAGGCTTGATTCATCTAAATCTGAATATAAGGATTACAATGCTTATGTTTATTGCCAGCATGCTAAGAAACGTAATGGGTCACATACAATAGGACATGTTGTGTAAGATTAAAATTGGGATAAATTAAGTTGGACTTAATATATTGGGTTAAAATCTAATATAGAGAAACATACAAAAGTCCAATACTAAATGGTACATTGTATAGCCGGCCAAGTAAGTAACCCTATAGAGAATACGACTTGGTCAAGGGGTTATTCTATTGAGAATAGAATTAAGCATGAGGAAACCCTAATACCCTAGGGTTTTGACTTACCCCTTGTCTTTACATAAGGAACTTAAGCCGCCCCTCTCTTTTAGCATTCTAAAAGAATAGACATCTCATGCGTTGAGAATAATTAAGAGAAAACACAAAGAGGGCAATCGACTAATCTCACTGGCTAGAGATTTTGGTTTTGTTCTTCCCATCCCTTGGAAAAGTTTCTTTCACCTTGTTCGTGTGGATTACCATTAGAGGCTGAACAAATTCGGTGAACTCTAGATTGGTGCAAAGTGAAGTCGAAACTAGAGTTAATATACTATTAGCCAAAACTAATTGTTCTGTTTGTATGATCTTGTTGATTGATCTTGGCTTTAGGGAGTTGAAAAATTTTTAAATTCCACAGCTAATACTCTGTATATTGATACACAATTCCCTTCAATAGATCCAACATGCTAATCTGAAAGAACTACATCAGACTCAACAGCATTTAGATTGACATTTGATTGACAATCTTCCAACAAGTGCTTAAGAATAGAATGAACAATAATATTCTACCAACTTTTAGATCATAAAAAATGACTAATCTTAATGAATCACGAGGGCATAGAAAGCCTTGGGATATGTCTATGACGCACAAGATGAATCTACTTAAACACAATGAGAATTAACTAAACTCCCCATCACAACAAATTTTTAAGGTCTTTCCATTACACTAGAAAAAGGCAGCAGGTCAAACATATACCATGGTGTCTAGAAAGTTAGAAAGTAGCCCAGCAGAATGAAGAGGAATTTCATAAACAAACCTTGTTCTTGATGTCCTTTGCAGAATCAGTCACGTAAATCGCAGAATTTGGATCACTAGCTGACATTTTCCCCGTCTCTCCCTGCAATTATGCACGTGTAGAAATATAATGGCTAATGTTACCACTAAAGAGTAATTACAAATGTATAAATCTATACAAACAGAAATGTAGCATATTTTGGATTGAACATGGCATCACATTTAACATTCCACGGCCTAACTTCATGTCTGAGGCATCTCACATAAATGACATTTGAAGCCAATGAAATGATGAACTAAAAGAACATAATGGTAGTGTGCAGACAAATGTTCCAGTATAAACCTAGCAAAAAAAAAACACTGCCATGTGCTCATAGAATTAAAACATAAACTTTTGTGACAGTAAACGCAATGCCATCATGTAGAGAATAACATGCAATTTTTCAGCTCTCAACCTCAAATGAAATGTCAAGAAATAACTAATTAAATGAAGGAGCTCAGAGTAAAACAATAAGTCCATGATTGCTTAATAAATTCATATAAAGAAGCTACAGTAAATACATCTTTTGCTTTAAATTGCACAATAACTGAACAACCCTTAAAAATATATGAACTATGTAGAAGATCAATGACAAATAGAAAAAAAGAAAAGGAAAAATAAAAGAAATTTAAACCAAAATAGAGGGGCACAATATCAAACTTTGCCCACATATATGCAACAGACCTTGTTCGCAAACTTGTGGGCTCTAATGTTTAAACTTTATCTTACAAGAAATAATCCAGTTGCTGTGGCTTGTCAATAGTAGATCTTTATCCAGAAAACATAACAATATCTCATGCATAATAATGCTACTATGCCCACACAGAATACCTGGAGAGCAGGGAAGAACAATGATTCAATCAATGCAGGCTTGTGATACCCTATCCGAGGAGCAACATCCCGTGTCATTCTGAAATATGGATCCTGAGCACATCAACAAGTATAAACAATAAAAAAATTTCAGAAATAGACCTGCATACAAACAGAGCTATAAAGAAAAACCCCAAGAGAAAGGATTGGAGGGAGAATCATTTAAAATAACCCGGGCAAAACATCAGTTTTTACCATTTATAGACAAATGATTAACTATGTATTTCAATAAATTTTAAAATTACTTTAGGTTAAGGTTTAGTTTAAGTTGCATAGTGACAAGGCTACAAGACCCAACATCTAAAATTACACGAATCTAAACAAAGCACTGAACCTGGTCAATTGCACATGGAATTAGACAACGTAGGTCATCCTTGCCAGAGAATAGATGTGGGAATGATGAGGGAAATGATGGAACAGCCTGCATCAACAGAATATAAGCATAATCATCACCACATAGATATATTTGACACAAATAGGTTGCAAAAAAAACAAAGCAGCTATTTGTTCCATAATTCTTGATGAGTCACATTAGATTTCATTATAAGTTGGTAATAGCAACATTTTAAAGAAAACAATATATAATTAGGAACAATCTCTGAAGCTCACATCAAAGCAAAAGGAGCAATAAAAGAGCAAAAAAATGAAAGAAAACATCATTGTGACCACACAAGTAAAAGTCATCACTAAGCAGTAAATAGTGAAGCAAAGAAATTTACCTGCACGGGTGGAAAGCTAACTTTTCCGATATGATCCTCACCCGTGAACCCAAATATGCCAACAACCTAAACATCAGTGATAAGGAATACAACAACTCAAACAATTAAGACATATATATCAGCAATAAAGAATACAATAACTCAAACAATTAAGTCGAAGACTCCTCCACCACAGAGAGAAACGAATAGAAAAAGAGAGAGAGAAGGTGAACAAGCACCTTGTTATATGTGACACACTTGGCAACCTTGACCATATTCTTATAGAAAGCACTGCAAATTAAAACAAACAAACAAAAAATTTATAATAGCTTCCAAAGGCTACTCCACAACAAAGTTAAAAAGAAATGCTTAAAATTCCTCTGGTGTTTTCTTACCCTCCAACATAATCGAAGTCTGAGAATATGAATGTCTTTGATATATCAAAACCACAAGCAATAATGTCTTTAGCGTTCTCGCGGGCAAGTCTTTGGCTCTCCTCCACAGAAAGGTTTTTCCACATGCACTTCTCATCATCAGTCAGTTGTATAACGAGAGGGACCTTGAAGGCATCTTGAAGATATCTGCAAGAAGCATCAAGCATGGAACAACTGATTGATGAAAAATCACAGTTTTTTTTTTTTTTTACAATAATTAAGATGCAAATTCCGTTAATTTAAACCAACTGATTCATAAAAAAAAAAGTTACTTGGTAAACATAAAAGGAATCAAATGGCCCAAATGCAAAGCTTCAGAAGAAGGTCCTCGGCCGGTATACAAATAAAACTTGTCCCCTCGCTCGTAGGCATCCAAAATTTCATTTAAATCCCGATGGGCGAAGAAGACGCCACGGCGGAGGAAGACGTGAGGAGGACGAGAAGTGAGACGTTGGACGCGGTCGACGAAGGATTGATCCAGCCTTTGGCAGCCGAATTTGTCAATGAGCTTGTCGTAATCGATCTTTCCGCCGTCTTTGGCTGACACTTCCCATGGATTTACCACTTGCTCTTCTTCTTGCAGATAGCCCTCTTTCTTCTCCATTGCGGCTTCGCTCTCGCCAGCCAGGAAAGCAAGAAACTGATATTTTACTGTACTAGGTTATGGAGACGGATCAAACTGACTGACAATTTTTTTATTTTTTTTAATAAAATTGACAAATAATGTTTCTGTGTGAAAATAAGAGTAACTAGCTAACCAGATGAATTGACAGAATTGCCACTTAAAAATTATGAATTGAAATGAGTTTAGTGTGTAACATTTTTTTTTCCGTTTGGTATACAGTGGGAAAATAAATTTAAAGTTAAATAAAAAATAAAAATAAATAAATACATATAATTGGAATCGCTGTTTGGTTACGAGTATAAACGTCGCCGCACCTTGCGCTTGTGTCCAAACAGCCTGTCTCAAATCTGCTTATCCAATCACCCATTCCACTGTTTTTAACACCAAGTCATCAACTCCGTACTCTTGTCTTGTCTGAGACGTCTCTGACTTACACTCTGACACTTTCAATAAAAACGTCGGAAATGGCGGAGACCGGCAGCGTCACCTGCGGTAGCACCAACCAGAAGATGATCACAGCCGACGAAGCTCTTCAAATTGTTCTCAGCGTGGCCCAGAAACTGCCACCTCTCACCGTCCTACTTCACCAAGCTCTCGGAAACGTTTTAGCCCAAGGTATCCGTGCTCCTGACCCCTTGCCTCCTTATCCAGCTTCAATTAAGGTTTCCCAAAAATCCAAACTTGTTCTATAAAAAAGAACCAATTTTGAAGAGATTAACAGGGTTGTTTAATTATAGTTTGATTGGTATTTTGAGTTGTATAGATTGAATAGGCACTTGAGTATTGGTTAGTTTTTTACTTGAAGGGCAAAGGATTGCCTTTTTGAACCACAGTTTTATTAGAAACAATTGGATGTTTTGGTTTGTTACATAAAAGTTGCAGGATTCATCGTCTTGGACTTGCTTGCAATTTCTTTGCTTCTTGCATATAAATGGCTTTGCATTTTGCTTTTTCGTTTAGATTTAGGGTGAAAGTTCCTTGGCGGGATACGCAGTGCATAAAAAGACAAGTTAGAAATAGTAGATGAAGCTATATTTCTGTAATAAAGCATCTTCCCTTGTTTTTAAGAACCTAGTTCTTAGAAGAAAATAAGGTTGTTGTATATTTCATAGTTGGGTAGATTTTTAGTGTGAATTATCTGAATATACTAAGAATTTGGTTGCATATATATGATGTCTTGCAGGATGGTTATGCAGTGGTTGCTTCAGATGGCCCTGGAGAGTATCATATAATAACTGAATCAAGAGCTGGAAATGATGGGGTTGATATCACAGTGACTCCTGGAACCGTTGCATATGTGACAACTGGAGGTTAGTCTCTTCGTCCTGTTATTATATGGACACTAAAGAGTCCTATTATTTCTGCAATTTTGAGGACAATTGGCATTCCATGTGCGATAATTTAAGACATCTTTCATAATGCGGCCCTTAATCACTCTTGTTAAGATTAACAAATTCAGGTCTGCAAAAGGAAGCCAATATAAGCAGGTGAAAAACAAGCATGTGTGTAGGATGCATGTGGCTAACCTATATATGTCATTCATCTTGAATTAATCTTCCATTTCATGATGGGGGATATTATTCGTACATGATAAATAAATCTATCTTAACATAACATTGCTTCTTGAATGGCCAATTGTGTTTTTGTCTTTTGCTAAATGAGCAAGCTCTTAAAAATGATCTTAAGCATGATCATGCATTTCATAAAATGAGATTGGCAGCTTCTTCTTATTTTTTGGCATTGTATGGTTTCTTTGAGCCTCAAATATGTTTGAATCATGCCCCTAATGGGTTAAATCATTTAAGCATGGTGTTTTGGGCAGTTCTTTTTCTCAAAATTTGCTCCCTTTTGGACTTTTTGGTTGCCCCTTAGGACCAACACCTGATACTGCTGATGCAGTTGTCCAAGTTGAGGACACTGAACCGGTGAAAGCTCCTTCAGTTGAATCAAAGCATGTAAGGATATTGGTGCAAACTAGCAAAGGTGTTGATATTCGTCCGGTGGTATGACATCATTGGTTCCTCTCTCTTAGTGTACTTTCCTCTCCTCTTTGCTTTCTCCTCCTCTCTTTACCTTTTTCTGGTCCCAACCATCATCTGTGATAAAAAAAATCTTGGTTGTTTTGCCACTCCCTCAAAGTCCTTATTACAACAGCTAAGTCAATGATTCTGAAGATTGAAGTAATATGTTCATAGTCAAAATTTAGTTATTTATAGCCCCCTGGTGGTATTTTAAGGTGTCAAGGTCTCAGTTGGAAAGTACACCTCATTTGAGTTCTCTGAATGTCAGCATGCAGTTGAGGTGGTTCTTAAATTCTAGATCTACCAACTTAGCTTTGTGATTTTGGCCCAAAGGTCTTGGTATGAGTAGTTTATTTAGTTCTATGTGCGGTTAGAAGTAATTTACAGCCATAGTTATTGTTTAAAAACTTTAAATCTTAATTTTTAAACTGAGAGGCCCTTTTGGACATGCTGGCAGCCCTTGCAAACTTTATGGTCTCTTAGCTTGGTGGAGAATATGAATGAAGTTAAACTCCCCTGGCTTCTCACCTTCTATATAAATTGACCTCTTTGTTTATCTATAGTGAAATAAAAATGAAATAAAAAATGGTGAATAAGCAGAACACTATGCACTTGACTACAATGTCCTGTAGTGTGTAGTTTCTAACGTTTTTCTTTATAATGATTGACTTGATTTTAAGTAACTTTACATTTGCATGCTTTCTTTTCAAAAGCTCAAACAAGCATCTATGTTGCAGGGATGTGACATTCAGAAAGATGCAGTGGTTCTAAAATCTGGAGAAACAATTGGTGCTTCGGAAGTGGGACTACTTGCTAAAGTGGGTGTTACAATGGTGAAGGTACTATATTGCCCACTATTTTGGTTTTAATGACTTTTTATAATCTGAAGGATATGGCTGATTTACAGGTGCAACCTACACCAACAATTGCTGTACTTTCTACTGGAGATGAACTTTTAGAGCCAACAACAGAGTCCCTAAGTCATGGCCAGGTATTGTGGGGCTGTCTCAGAAGTTCAATGTGCATAATGTGGATTATTGTTTCGAAGCTTTCAGCTTCTCTATACTAAATTTATTCAAGGTTGAATTCTCAGAAGGATTTAGGGAAGGTTATGGCTCTTCCCCGAGCACCTCCCCTCCCCCAAAAGGGGGAAAGAAAGAAGAAAAGAAAAACTGAATCAGAAGCAGGGCCTGTATGATTGGAATTAGTAGAAAATTTATTCTTGGCAGAAAAGGTTGGAGTTGGAGAGTTTGAGGATGTTGAGACTTGAGATATTGCAACTATGGTGATACTGAGATTATACATAACTACATGGGATGCTAGTAAGGCACCTTGAAAACAAGCCTTCGAGACTTGAGTATGCTAGTTGTCATACCTTATTCTGCAGTTATCTTAAGAGTAGTCTTTATTTGATAAAAATGGTTTTTACATGGACCATATTTACAAAATCTGGGAGCGATAACGATCATTCTCTGTCTTTGTTGCCCTCTTCATCTCTTCCTATTACTGTTTTTTGTAGATTTCCCCCAGCCCATATTTTGATGGATGGGCTTCTTTTTCCTGCACAAAACCTACCATGTTACATGAATTGTCCTTTGAGATATCATCTAGGTTGCCTGATGTCTTGTGCAGATTAGGGATTCCAACCGTGCTATGTTATTGGCAGCTGCAACGCAGCAATAATGCACAGTGCTTGACCTTGGTATTGTTGGAGATGATAAAGAAGAACTTGAGAGGGTCTTGGATAGTGCTTTTTCTTCTGAGATTAATATTCTTCTGACTTCTGGAGGTGTTTCCATGGGAGATAAGGATTTTGTGAAGCCACTGCTTGAAAAGAAAGGGACAGTGCACGTCAACAAGGTCATTTTCCAGATAGATTTCTTTGTGAGAAAATTTGCTTTTGAATAATTAGGCCAACACGTGCAAATTGTGTCTAGGAGCTTTAAATTTTTGTATGATAACCTGAGCATCATGAAGTAGACATCTATGTTTACTTTGTTTGCTCTACAGGTATGCATGAAACCAGGGAAACCATTGACATTTGCAGAGATATATTTAAATCGGGCAGAGAATGAACCAGTGAACAAAGTTCTTGCATTTGGTTTACCTGGAAATCCAGTTAGCTGTCTAATTTGTTTCCATCTCTTTGTGGTCCCTACCATTCGTCACCTAGCAGGATGGGCAAATCCACATCTTGTGAGGTTGCTGAAACTCCCAGTAAAATTTTCCATTTCGGTTACCTGTTTCTGTTGTTGTCTGTTCATTGTTAAATTTAAATATAGTGTAAAACAGATTTAATTTGTGACCATCATGTTTTCCTTCTGTTTGTTATACAGAGTGCAAGCTCGACTTCAACAACTGATAAAGACAGATCCAGGCCGGCCAGAATTTCATCATGCCACTATCAGATGGGAGGTTAATGATGGGATCAGTCAATCCTGGGTAACTTTAGTGTTATTGTTTTCTTGATCACAGGTCTCTGCACTTTTTGGATTCGTTGTTCAGTTAGATCCTTCTTGGACCTGATTTACTCTTTAAATGTCATGGTTTTTGGTGTTTATTCTACCCTGAACACTATAATAATTGTGTTGAGAGGCACTGAGTGATGCTGCTTTGTCATCAGATTCAGGTTCTAGTACTACACGACATAAAAGTGCATTGAATGAAATAACCATAGATGGATCTCAGGATGCTCAGTTCAAAGTAGCTGTTCTTACAGTGAGTGATACTGTTGCATCAGGAGCGGGGCCTGATCGAAGGTATGTTATATAGCATATTACTTCTTCAAATATTGAATCATTTCCTGGGTTAAGTTCCTTATGAATTTCCTATAGAGGAATGTGTAGCATCTCAAGATATCCCTTTTTTACCAATTGAAAGCACCTGATTCCAAAGGCTACAACCATTGACATGGAAAACTTGAATTAGGATAATTTTTAAATAATTTTCTTTTAGGATATTTGACTATGAATCTTTTGCTTCTTGCAAGTTGTTCACTTAAATGTCATCTGTTTGAAATTAAATGTGATGGTAGGGATATGGCCGGGTGCATTTTGGGTGTGTTTCTAATACTCTTCCTCAGTTACATATTTTGAGGGGCATATCACCCCTAACCACAACTCATCCACTGATT